CCCCCCCCCCGTTCCCGTCCCCACGGGCTGTGCGGGCCCCCTCCTCCTTCCTCCAGCCCCTTCTCCTTGCCAGCGGCCCCTCTTGCCCCCAGAGGTGCCCCCCTGCAGCCCTTCTCCTCCCTCCCGTGCTGGTGGGGGGCGGTGGGTCCGTGGCTGCGTCTCACGGGTGGGTTGGTGCCCGGTGGTGCCTGGGCCCCCGCCCAGGGCCCTCACGGGGCGTCCCGGGGTGCCCTTGCCCTTTGGGGTTAGGTGGACCCTCTTCTACAGTCTCAGGTTTAAAAGAATTGCTTGGAGGAGGGCAAAGGCTGGAGGGGGGGGCGGTTCTGGAGGCCTGGGGGTAAGGACGGAGCCGCTGTAGGAGCAGAGGGTTTGGGAGGAGAGCGCTGGACCCGGCTGGGAGGGGGGAGCTGCGGTCTGGAAACAGGGCCAAGGGGGGCTGCCAAGCTTTGAGGAGGGTTTGGGTTTGGGTCCTGGGAGGATGGGGTTGCTGGTTTGCTCGCAGGGGTTCGAGTTCGAGTGTCTGGTTCAACTGGTTAAGGCTCTGAACTGGCCAAGGGCCGTCGGAAAGGTGCGTGTCGAAAGCGCAGAGCAAGAGACTGGAGAGTCTCGGTGTCTGCATGAAAGGGATGCCACTAAAATATTCAACAGCGAGGAGTAGCGGGAAGCTCTGAGGGAGTGTTCAGGGATTTCACAGTGTTTTCTTTTCTTGTTTGTTCAGTTCTGACCCTAATAACTGTTCAGGATAGGTAACAGCACTTCTTTCTAACCCCCTTGCAGGTTAGACAGATGCGGGTGGAGGGAACACCAGAGAGAGAAAGGAATAAAGAAGAAAGAGGGGGCAAAGGTAACGTGTTTCCTACAGGATTTTTTTTCTTTTTTTTTTTTTTTTTTTTTTTTTTACTGAGAGAATTGATGAGATGGGAGTGGGAATGCAGAGACTGTAGAGGACAAGGCCCCTAGTGACCAGATTAGATGAAGCAGAGAGGGATCTGTTGCTAAATTATTGATCAAACCTGGTAAGGTCAGCACGGTGTAAATCCACATGGAGTCTAGAAAAACAAATAGGATGGCTTGAGCAGCAATGTTGAACGGGGAGCCTGTGGCATTATTACTGTTAGGGGTGACAGGTATATGGAGGTGGCAGCTGGCTCGATTCGTGCCCGAGCTCCTTCAGCTTGCTCAGAAGGAATCATTCCTCTTCTGGGGGGCTTTGCAGGGTTAGGACATGGTAGGGAATTCTTCAGGTGCCACAGCTAAGGCAGGGGGTTGTGTTGGAAGATGATTTATGTTTGTTTTGATGTAAAAAATGAAATGGGACTCCTTGGTCAGCTCACCGCCAGCTCTTCCCGTTGGCTGCGCTCTGTGCCGTGAGGGAGTTTGAGGGCAACGTGGTTTTGCACAGAGATGCGACTCCGTGATTCACTGTTTAATTTGGAGTGACTGGTGAGGCAGATTCTGGCATGGCAGAGTGAGAGGTTTCCAATAGCCTTTTCATTTTATTTACTGCTATAGTGCCAGGCTGGTTACCCATATGGCTTTATTGTCTCACACCTCAGATGGAGACATCGTTAGCTGTTCTCGCCAACTAAAACATGGCATCCTCTTGTGTTATCTGCTGCTGAATCCCCTGCCCTAGAGTGCATGCGGAGTCCTTTGAGTTTGCAGTAGTATTTCTCACTACTAGCACATTCAACTCCCGCCTGCTTGATAGTTGTGCTTGCTGACTGTTGTCAGATAGTGGAATTTTCGTGTTTTCTGGCATTTGTTACTTTTCATAGTCCAAAGTAGGACAGCTCTTGTCTTCCCTTGCTTTTAAGGCTGCTGGTTCTCTGACCCTTAAGGACCTGCTGCTGGGTGAAGGTCCCTTCACATTCTTCAGCAGCAGATGTGTGTGATTCCTTC